GTTCGAGCAACAGAAGCCGCAGATTAGGCGACATTGCTTTCGCAGTGCTGCCGTGCCCACTGAACGCTGCTGGCAGGGGGTTCAACTTTATAGGTCCTGCGAAGAACCGCTTTATGCGCGTTGCAGGGTGCCTGCGCTCGAGGGTAGCGTCGACGATATGTCCGTGGTCAATAACAGCGGTGTCAGCAGCTGGTGCGACCACGCATGCGCTGTATGCCCCAGCTTGTAGAGATGCGCAGACGAAGAAAACCTGTTCGAGCAACAGAAGCCGCAGATTAGGTGACGTTGCTTTCGCAGTGCTGCCGTGCCCACTCATATATATATATATATATATATATATATATATATATATATATATATATATATATATATATATATATATATATATATATATATATATATATATAGTTGGGGCGTTAGCAACAATTAACAAAAGAAACAGCGTTTGTAGGGCCCACCAGAGAATTTAGGCGTACTGGAAGGCACTTAGAACTCCTAATAAATGCACGTTTTCAGCTTCGGATTTGTGTAGTGAAATAAACAAATACTATCTTATTCAATCGGTGACGATTGAAACTCAACGCAAACAGCTATGACATTATCCTTTTAATATTATTCATGTTTTTCGCTACGACCATGTAGTATGGGGGATTCTGTAGTAGGCCTAACGTACGGTATGGCTACAGTGAAGTATTGTGCCTACAGTAGTGCAACTGTGAACAAGACCGTGAACAAGAATGAAAGAAAATATGTACAATGGGTGAAAAAAAAACTAAATTACTTTTTGTACACTTCACAAGCGTGATGCTTCGTACGCAGAAATGACTAACCACATATATAGTGCACTGCACACGCTGTTCATATATTCGGCTGCTCTCCTTTTTTTCTACTGTGAAAAACGTGTCGCGCAGACGTTCTTGTCTCACGAAGCATAAAACAAACACAGTAAACACGTTAGCTACTGTCCAGCTGGTTTTTAGATGCGTGGAGTCACTTAAATCTCCAATTCTAAACAAGAAAATGTTGACATATCACAAGCATTACTTATGACATTAAGAATTACAACTGATGTACAGCCTTTCAGTGTGGTGTAGTGGGTACCCTGCCGGGCTCGGAAGGAGCAGTGCGTCTAGGAGTCGAAAATTCGAGTCCTACTTGATCCCTTTTGTCAAACTTTTTTCTATTCTTTTTGTCTTAGTGCTCGTATTTATCCATCCTTACGATCAGCGCACTAGCAAATGCGTCCAAAACCATTAAAATGCCCTTTATCGGCCCAAGTTGCGCTACTCTTTTTTGTGAGGTGTACTGCTACTTTCTTCAGGGGGAAAGGGGGGAGGCACGCTACTGTGCTTCGCGCACCGTTCTTCTGGGGAAGTGATTGCCCTCTGACTCAACAAGAGGTGATTTACTCCGGAAAAGAGAGTGAAATACGGGACAAGAAAGTAATCTCTCAAAGCACTCTCTTAGATTTTACAGTGATCCTCGAATATAGCTGCTTTTTTGTGAAATCTACACTGTACACTGTGTAGACAAAAAATAAGAAAATCTGCAACACTTTTTGCACACAACGTTGATTGTCAATGTAATCAATGCGGTGAAAGCAAAAAAAAAGAAAAAAAATTAGCACATCCCACGTACAGTGGGAATCGATGATATGCGAAGCATGAATGAGTAATGTTGTTAGGTCACTTTAAAATCAGCACAGCGTTAAGAGGTGGAGGTAAATGAGGCCGTACATGACTTCCGTGTCACGATTATCATGTTTGCGTGTGTCGTTTACCTTCGTCATCCATTCACGTCACGTGATATCAAATTAAGTATATGTAGAGCTAGCGAAATGACCGTGAGTACGCTATGAACGGGGTATGTTGTCATGTTCATACATGACGCGCTTGTCAGGATTATCATGTTTGCACCAGTCATGTATTTCGTCATCCATTGACGTCACGTAACACCTAATTTGGTATGTGTGGAGGTAGCAAAATGGCTGCGAGTGCATCTTGAAGGGCCCGATAAACTCCAACGTAGCGTTGACGTGCGCGCACGCTGGGCACAGTGACGGTACGTTATATAGCAGAACGCGAGCACTCTATAGAGCAACGCCAGGTGTGACCAGCGTCCATCGGCCTGGACCTATGGCAACCGGCGCAAAATGCGACATGCTGCGTTTCGCACCGATGCGTTACCCAGACAGCACTGCGTCTTCCTGTTTTCGTGACGGAGGGACACCGGACGCGCTCAAACGTGCATGCGTCAAAGCGACGCCGCATGGCGCACGGCTGCGAGTATATGGCAGGACCGGCGCCTGGCGTGGCAACGACGCGATGAAATAAACACCGGCGAGCACGCGCACCACGTCATGTCGAAATGTATTGGTGCCTTTACTGTCACATGTAGTCATGCCCTCACATGACACGCATCTCATGATTATTATGTTTGCACCATTAACATACCTTCCACATTCATTGGCGTCACGTAAATTAAATTAATTACGTAATGTAATGTAATTTGGCATATGTGAAGCTAGTGGAATGGCCACGAGCGCATCATGAGTGTGGCATGAAGACATGTTGTTATATGACACGCATGTGTTGATTATCATATTTGGATGTGTTATTTAGCTATGTCGTTCGTTAGCACCGCGTCATACCGAGTTTGGTACATGTGAAGCTAGCGAAACGGCCGTAAGCGCATCAGGAGCGTGGCATGTACTCATGTTGTTACATGACACGCATCTCATGTTTATCATGTTTGCACCATGCAGTATCATACCTTCGTCATTCATTCGTGTCCCGTAATACTAAATTTGGAATAAGTGAAGCTAGCGAAACGGCCGCCAGCGCCACATCACCTTGGCATGTGGTCACGTTGTTACATGACACCTATGTCATGATTATCAGGTTTGTACCAGTCACATACCTTTGTCATTCATTCACGTACCGTAACCCCAAATTTGGTAAATGTGACGCTAACGAAACGGCCGCGAGCGCATCATAAGCGTGGAATGTAGTCATGTTGTTACGTGACATGCATGTCATGATTTTTATATCAGGGTATGTCGCTTGTGTTCCCCACGCAATCACGCCATACCATACCAGTTTTGCAACATGACATGTGAACGAAACCCCCACAAAATCTGCAGGACCATGAAATTTAAATCATGACATTCATGACACACATATCGTGATTTTCATGTTATGACTAGTCAATTGTGTTCTCCATACAGTCATGTTATGCCATACCAAGTTTGGTATCCATACCATTATCGAAATGGCCAGGAGAGCTAAAAGCCGTGGGTGGCTAGATAGACAGATAGATACGCTCAATGTCGCCGAAGTTCGCTAAGAAATGCTTCGCATATAGAAAAAAACTACTTAGGTTGCTACTTGCTGACGGCCGTGTGAAATTGATTCCGGATAGCGTGAAATCTGCTGGGTATTCTGCACAACTATTTTGTGTAGTGCAAAACTCTTTTTTCGGCTATTTTTAATTTGGCACTAAGACGGTGGTCGGCACTCAAAACCTGGTTAGTTTAAAACATATACGTGACAGCAGCGCAGTCGAAGCAGGAGTGAACAGCAGCTATGCTACAACTGTGGGCTCGTGCTTAATTATAGGCGCCGATCGGTCTACTTTCAACATTCGTAGATTTGATTTAGCGTCAGCTCTACCCATGACTCTTTATCTTAAGGCATATGACCTCGATATATGACGGGGAGAAACTTTTCTCTTCCACAATTATGTGCGATGACATAAACACGCAACGGCACCGGTAGTCAATAAGTTTGAAATCGGTAAGCTCTAAATCGATAAGTATCAAACATCCATTAGTTTGAAATATTTATGCGTGATGCTCTTCGCTAAGAAAAAAAAGCGGTTCTAATAACCTGCGCGTCTAACATACACAAGGATGCTATGTAGGAGACACAAGTACCCGGTAATAGTGGCGGACTACAGTAATTTGCATTAAAATTTCGAAACTAATAACTTTCACGTGGCTCGAAATATTACTTCATCGTGAAGCCTAATTTTATTCGCACCCTCATGCATCGAACCATGCACTTTTATTCTATGCCACGCGTTATATGCTAAACGCCTGCTAGGCACAGCACGCTTCTGCGGAGACAATCGCAATGTGAATAAGAATTGAGCATTACGTCTCGCACCCCTACTGAGATAATATCGAAACCAACCAAACATTCTATAAACTGGGGGTTTAAAGAAGCGTTCATATCATACACGTTTCGAGTATGAAGTGTCATGCAACCAGCTGACAACTTGGACCGGCTTTCTCATCAGGCAGGTGTCGCTGTGGTCACAGACCCTACCGTGTCGGCATATGTAAAAAAAAAAAAGACACAGGAAGGGAGAATACTGCAAGACAAGCGCATTTGACCTCTGAAAGTTTATTAGCGAAATGACAGAATTACAAACAAAACTGCGAATACACGTAGTTAAGAATACTGCCTTGAGATCAGATAATTAATGTGAAGTTTATGCAGGTTCACTGATGGCCTTGCCATGCACACGTCACAGAACCTGTAATTGTAGAAGGCTTCAACCGTCTTAACCACGCGTGTTGCGCATTTTTCGTATGACATTGTGCGTGTATTTTGAAATATATAGTGCAGTTTTGAGGCGTTTTCTTGTGTATTCTTCCTTCGTGCCCTGTTTTTATGCCAATACCCATACCAACTCACCGAACGCCATGATATTTTTAAAGCGGACCCTACATATTCAAGCTGTGCTTTTCATTAGATACACAGGTCAACATTTCGGGCATCTTCACAAGTAGTGTTTGATAACATCAGCTAACATGAGAATGTGTGCACACACGAGATATTTCACAATTAGCAGATACGGTTCATTTTGTGTCAGCATTCAGCTTGCAATGCTACTGTTAAATTTTTTTTGTCCACAGCGGAATGACAGAACATGACCACACAGTTCGCGAGAACGATAGTTTAAGTGTACGATAAACGAACAAATAAATTACCTACCTTCCACGATGACGTCCACGTCATCCGGATGACTGTAGTAGCGCGGATCGATGATCGGATCGTCCATGGGGTCGAGAGAGCGCAGCTTGACGAAACCCCGAGACTTCGGACGCATCACCATCGGGATCATCTGGAAGGACGGCTCATCGCGGAACGGCTTGTAGTATTTATCGTACACCTGCGTGACCCCGCGTGAAATATCTGACAAACAAATCACAAAGATAGGAAATCGTAAATTCAATAAAACAATGTAGGGAGTGACATATCTAGTTCAAATTAGTTCACATTTGATCGAACATAAACAGCGAAATTGCTCAATGAACTTAAAAAAAGAAAAAAAAACACGCAAGCTACCCCAACCAAAACCTGAGTGAGATCGCGAATAATGATACAGAAAACCAGACAACCAATGTGGCGAAATTAGAGCTGTAAACACACTGTGTATTTGTGTAGTATTATATGCATATTCACATACATAGACACATGATAAAAAGGCATACAACCTAAAGACAGCGGAATAAACCGAGAAAAAACGACCCAAATTTATTGAGACCATTACTCTAATGAGGACACCATGTGTTTTTACAGCATGCTTGTTGCTATATACACTTTGCCCCGGTAGACGTAGTAATAGCAGACGTCACACAGGTCACGTGAACAGATGACAAATGAACAAAGAATTCAATGAACCGGAGTGGTGAACATAACATTGGTGATAATGATACTAGAAATCACAATGCCTTTTCCCACAATGGTGCCCCTGCATCTTCGCTGTTCGACAGTTCTGTGGATGTGCGACTGGCTCAATTTATTTCATAAACTCCAAGAGGGCTTCTCCTCATCCGCGACTCTAAACTTCAAAAAAAAAAGTGCGCGTGACTTTTTCATGTAGTTCTAACTTGAAACATAGATAAGACTCCCTTTGAAGGGGAACCTAAACTCTTCTTGGGGTGGGGGTTCATTATAACTCTCATCTGCGAGTCATGTGACCAGGAGTTCCTATTCAAAGACAGTCGTACACATTGGCGAGTCAAGATTAAACGAAGCGTCACACAAACTTTTCTTTTCTCTTTAGCGTGCACATGTCTTAAACCTATTAAAATGTGTGTATTTTAACACAATCAAGATATAGAGAAAGCACGTTTGCTAGCACGCAAACAAATACCACAGTGTTTAAATCGTTTTCTGTAGAAAACAGTTTCTACAAGCAAAAGCAATCACAGCTTTTATTGCCAAGCTCTGATCTTTAACAAACGGACAAAACTATAGTTATATTACGAGACACGGAAGCGAAAGTGATGTTTAAGTTACCAACCATACAAGTCGTGCTTAACTATTCAGTTGAGCTAAATTGTTCGTGTAAAACACAAAGTGGTTACAACTTCATGATAGTGAGGACTGAGAAAAACTTTTCTGCCTATAATGTAGGTCAACCTGAAGAGTGGTATATATTCTAATGCAGAGCAAAGTATGGATGTAAAATGTTAAAACTTCAAATGCATACACTTCTAAACCACCGAACTAAGAACCATAACATCAAGTTTTTTGGCAAAGAACGAAAAGAACAGCGTTCAATGTTTGTATCAGGATGTGATGTGAATACTATTTTCTAAGCGTGCGTGGCAACCTCCTTCTTTAACCCCAATATGAAGCACCCTCTTGTTTCATTAGAGTATTGTTAGCTGCACGCTTCTGTGATATCTTGTGTTGTGAGGTATCAGGGCTGTACGTAAGATCTTTCACCTTCCCTCTCGAACATTTTTGCGCTGCATGTTCAAGTTGGGCTACCCTTGACTCTCGTTCCTCGTTATTTCCTAGCGCAAAAACACCCCCACTTTTGTGGCTTTTAATACAAAAAGCTGTTGTTGCAGAATAAAGCTCCATTCAATTTAAATCATCTCTACGCGATGGTCACGACACCTGCATACCTCCTGCTTGAGCCCCTGTCCGATCAGATATGTCTCGACGAAGGCCGAACTGGGTGGAACTCCAATCAGCATGATCTCCACGTCCGGATAGTCGTCACTGGCATTCGCGTACTTGGTCTTGACAAAAGCAAGGGCCTCTGCTCCGGCAGGCAGAGTCCAAGGGCCTGCATAGCAGCACCAAAGAGCATATTTTTCAGAATTTTCTCATCATTGCCTGATAAACACAGTTATACGAACAATTTAGACTAGACAGGTGTCATGCGTTCAAGTTTACGCGTTCTGAGTACTTCGGAAACATCAAGTTTTCGATCAGTGACGGCCTTATCCTGAATGAATGTACTTGACTACGATTAGGAGAGAAAATGAACGAACACGCGTGAAAAACACAACATAATTTTAAACCAAAGAGGCTAGATTTAAATACTGGAAGAACCCTAAGCTTCGCCTTCAAGAGCTGAACGTGATAGCGATTCTGATGGTCGCAGCGCCTCCAACGGACGGTGGGACGGTGCCACCACCAAAAGCCTTCTAGGAGGTGTTGCCCCACCACACCACGCGCCTGTCACTCTCAGTGGCGGTGACAGTGAGAATGGAACTCTAGCTCAGTCGGGCCATATCGGAGACGCCTTTCCACTCGCTAGCCGTACTTCGCTTCTCAATGAAGACTTAAGCTACGCCCCAAGAAAGCTGAATTGCAGAGGTCTCTTATAACGTGCACTGTTACTCCTTTTATGATCAGACGCAGAAACTCGCCCGACAACAAGTTCCTCGAATATATCGCTTACGGACAATGCTGCTTTGTCGCTCGCAACGGGTGACGCCGACAGCGCATATTTTTTAAATGAAACGAGCCATTCGAAGTGTTTGCGTTTATAATAGAAATGTATGTTGTCCTTTTGTTTCATCGCGAATGTTGTTTAAGTAGTATTTTAATTGCCAATGATCGTCAGTGCTTTTAACATATCTTTATCCCTAAAGCAATCGCAGAAAGAAAGCGCGAACGCCTGTTAGCCCTACATCTTCTTGCTTTCAGTTTCTTAGAAGAACTGCGAAAAAAAAACGTAAGCAGAGGGAGAAACGCACAACAAAAGCACGTGCTAACGAATGAAATATTATTTAAAAAATTCTGAAACGTAGAAAAAGTACGTGGATTGCAATAAATAGCGAAAAGGAACTACATTTGCGCATCAAGGCATGTACCCAAACTTTACTTCCTGCAATGAGTCTGGGCAACGCAGAAAATGAAGTAAGCATCAACAAACCGCAGATATTTATCTAGCCAAGACCGCTGTAGCATTGTACGAAGCAGATATTGAGTACGCACACATGTTGTTTCTTTATGTTGCTCAATCAAGGAATAGTAGTTTGTCGTTGGTTATATTTTTGTTTTTTTAATAAAAGTTATGTTATAACGCATGCTTCTGAACCCCTTTCGTGAACGTTTATTGGTACAGTTCCTCTTATTTTGATTAGCAACTGTGCGAGCAGTCTATTGTGTAAATTCTGAATTCAGTAGTACATTCCGCGCCCAAATCCCGCCCACACTAACAACGGAGGAACCCATAGACAGAACGGATGCCGCTCCCATGTTCTTCATGTTCAGTGTGAACGTGATTTTGGCGCAGAATGGACTATTTATTCCAGACGCTTACCAACTCGCGCAACAGTCTTTGAAAGTCGGTTCTCACCAGTGTTGTAGCGGTAGTAATCCAATGCCGCCCTGACTCCCGACACACCGACGTTGTATGGATCCCGCACGTGTACACCGATACCACCGACGATCACATGGTCTTGGAGATCGCTCCCCACTGGCAGGTCAGCAAGCACGGGAATCTGCAAGCACGTGTGGAGAAATATTTTTTTTTTCAGTTGATTGAAAATATGGCGTGAGTGTGTGCAAATTTCATGTCTATTATTGCCAATATAGTGAATTATTTATGTCTATAGTGAGTTTGTTTCTATACGGGAAACCACAATGCATAACATATTGAGACCGAACTTTGTGTCTGTACAAGTTGATACTTTCTACTTTAATGCAAATTGCACTAGTATTTTGCTTGCTTTGTTTCACTGTGTTGTCGTACTGGTGGCGTTTGCACGGGTCCCACTCACATTAAATTTTTTCTTATAGTTTCCTGGGTTACTTTGTTAAAGTAGGCAGCCCTTTAAGTTTCAAATTTATTGGCTTCGCGAAGAAAGAAAGAGATGCTCACTCAGCTCCGAATTATCGTGTCGCTGAATCTGCGAATAACTTAGGCGTAAGGCTCATACATGTTATGTACAAAAATAACAAAGCGTAATATTGCTTGCGTTAAAGCTACACTGAAGTCAAATACGAAGTACAACGTTCATTGTAGAAATATTGCTTTATAAACCTTGCAGTGCTACTGTTGTGCCAAGGAAGGTATTATATTGTTATGAATTACGTTGTATCAATCCGCATCGCGTCAAAACACTTCAAATAACCCGCCTGATGTGGTCTTTCTGACGTCAGCGTTACAATGTCCAAAGTTGCTCACCTTTTCTGTGCGGCTACCGATGTTAGTAGCAGTATGCGAAAGCCATAGCAGCAAGAATGGCCAAAGAACAATATTCTTCTTGATTGGCTAAACTGAACCCCGCTAGACGGCACCACTAATCCAGCCTAAGAAGGCGAAAAGAGAGTTTTTGGACAACTTACTCCATTCCCCATGGTAACGCCAGGTGGTTATTTTTCTGTATATCAAGCATAAACAATCAAGAAGCACTTGAAAACTTCTCTTGATGCACGCAAGGTTCTTTTTGATTGCATATACGCAACTAATTGAAGACGGAATGATTTCATGTCAACGGGATTATTTCTGAAATGTCTTTTTCATGGCGCATGCCGTGTGCTACATTTAGCTAGATTTACCGGTAAGTACACAGTGCGGTTCATATTATTGCCGCTTGAGACTTTAGCATACATTGCTCTTTTTTTCAGAGACAAATTGTTATTTGCCTTTAATTTCCTGTTAAGTGTAATGATTCTTAGATGCGTCGCATTGCGCATAAACATCGCAAAACGTGCAGAAGTATGTTACCATGCTTATATTTACGAACCTTTCTAGTATACTCCAGGAAAGAAGGTAATACTCAGCTTCTGACAAAAAAAATTGGTACAACCCACGTAAGTGAGAATCGACGTTAAGCGGAGCATGCGGAGGGAAGGTGACCTAGTTGCAATTGTTTATATTATTCGACACGTCATGAAATGACGCTAAGTATAGGTAAAAGTTTTGTGCGCACAGACTTATGTTGAAGAGTTGCAGATATTTAAATAAACAGTTGTTTGCACTTGCGCAACTATGTCAACTGGAACACGCGTGTTAGCAACGCCAGAAGCTGATATGAAGCGCTGATGCTCGCGAAGATGCTGGCCCTGGACACTTCTACATAAATCAACTTCAGCGCATGGCACCTAACCACAATTGACGTTAACCTGACGTGACGGCTGCCTCAAAGGAGTGCATATGTAATTTTTATAATATTAGGTTGGCAGCACTGCAACCACTACGGACGTTTCACGAAGATTAGCGTCTATTTGAAAAGTGGTTCCGAGAACTGGCGTAGCTCTGTGGTAGAATGCTTGACTGCCACGCAAAACGCTTGGGTTCGATTCCAGCTGGGACCCTGCGATTCATTCTTTGCGTTCATCGGGGGTGTCAACGCAGCTTATGTCAGGTTTTTCTTAACACTGACATTTATTCTATGCCGTCGTTGAGTCGGTGCTACCGGTGTTCTCGTCGGTCCCGAGTAGATACTAAGTGTCGATCACCTGTGATACATACCATTGGCACATACCCACCCGTGGGTATGTACCACTGTCTGACGGGAAGTGTTTGACGACGTACGCGACTGGATTGTGATATTGTTCATGTCTTGACCAGCGCGTCGTGTTCGTCAAACCATGTAACCCTCCCATGCTAATCTTTGCTCACGCTATGTTAAAGAGCATTTTAAAAAATGTGTCATAAATAATTGATTGCTTCATCCACTGTTGGAAATTAGCGCCATGCTTTATGGATACATTAAGACTTTGAGGTCACGTTCTTGCGGGTGGTTCATCAATAATTGCTAGCTATGCTATTATATACTAGCATTATATCTCTGTATGGGTAAACTAACGAACGAGCAAAGCAATGTAATACGCAATTGACGAACCAATGGTTATGACAAAACGAAAAGCATATTGTCCAACCTTGAGTTCTTTGAGATGATCCTTGGGTCCGACACCGGAGAGCATGAGAAGTTTGGGCGAATTGGCCACACCTGCCGACAGGACGACCTCTCGCGCGGCCAGCGCGGTATGCTCGGCACCATCCTTCAGGAATGTGACGCCCACGGCACGCTTTCCCTCAAAAAGAACCTTCAGAAAACAAAGTAATGCATAATCTTCCTCTGAACACAGTTTGAAACTGTTTTTTTTTTTTTCAGCATTAAGGGACTGTTACGACGTGCTACCCTCACCACTTTTTCTCGTATACTGGTGTCTGGTATACAGCTTTTTCTGGCATACTGGTGTCTGCGAGCATTATTACCTATAAACTATAGGGATTTCCTTCAACATGTAGATTCTTCTTCTAACCTGGAGGTTCTAGAAACACTAAGCGCTAAGCTTCAATCAAAATTCATCGCTGCAATCCTAAATATGTAGTCGACCACTGTTGAGCCTTCACGCGCTCGTTGAGACATACCTGCCACACAGACCACACTACGACCGCTGAGCATGCACAAGGTGAAACAGGTTCAGGTATACAGCCCCAAAAGCGTCACTGCGAGCTCACTTTTGTCGCCATTGAGAAGAGAGAGATGTGCAGATTCGGTCTTTCGCCGGCCACGGGAATCACAAATGCTTTTGACGTTGACCAGCGTTCCTTGCCGCGCATCGTGAACTGGTTCGGACAGAAACCTGCAACACAAGTGCTTGATTACCGGCAGCCACTCATAAAACCATTGCTTTGCGTATTTTGTCTTTATGTGCACGTGTAAGTAGTACGCTCTCTTTTTAAAGCAATCATGTATCACCAACTCGCCCGATTAACCTTACTGACAATTAAGGCCGAATGTTTAAACTTTTGCTGATTTGCAACCACGGCTGGGCAGATATATCAAGAAAAGCATTTCGAAATACAGATATCGAAAAACATGTGGTGGAGGCGCAAAATAGAGATATCGAAATTATTTTCCTTTGTCACAACAGGATATTTCCAAAAACTTGTGCAAAAATACCAAACATGTTCGCTAAAGTCACTACAACAGTAAAAAAAGAAAAAAACAAAACGGGATGCTTCTCTGGATAGATGACTGTGAAATCAAAGCTTAAAAGGCTACCAACAGCCAAACTCTGCGCATTCGTGATCACGCTGGTTTGACCAAAATAAACTAAGCGCAGCGTAATGCGCTCTATACCACCCTTTTTATTTTAATAAGAGCAATGCTCCTAAAGAACCGGACCAAGTTAACGCGTTCATGAGTAGATATAGATATCATTAATTTTAATTCTGGCAGCCTGCGTAAACACTTCATATAAATCTATAGTGTTCGTTCTTCCTATAGTAGCTCTTTTTCAACTATCGCCGTAACAAAAATATCGTTATCAGTTGTTGACAAAAATCTCTATTGCTTCCCAAATCGCAAGTTGGAATAATGTAATGCACCAACTAGCAGTGATTGTGCTCCAGCCATTTATATATCTCCTGATCTTTCTTGTAGGAGAAGACATGTTTTGTAGTTGTCTGTAACTAATTGTGAATTAGTTTGTATTGAAATAGCTATTTATACTCCATCTTGCGACCACAAAGATTTAATACATGGTTGAATTTCCGAATCTCCCTCATAGTCAGTCGAAGATTTTTTTTTTTAATCTTGAGTACGTCCTATTTACCATTACTTTTGAGAATAAAACTACAATTATATGGGTGATGTCAACACTGATCTACTCAATTACACTTCACCTATTGTTTTTAATTACACCAGTTTACTGCAAAGTTTTCAGTACCAATTCCTAATTATGTTCCTACATGGCAAGTTCCCAGTGGTGCTGGGACGCTGATTGATAATGCTATCTCCAAATCGCTAATTTCACTAGAGGTGATGAAAGTTCTTTGCATTGACATTACCGATCATTGTCTATCGATTTTACGCTTCAATTACCAACCTCATTGATGTCTGATTCCACAATCCAAATATATACTCACTAAATGAAGATTCACAACTGCCATAGTCGATTTGGACTGGACTAAGGTTAAACCTCGAAATGATCCCCAGAAAGCATTTTCTAAATTTTTCTTCAATTATATCACATATTCAAGCATTTGCGTGTGTGAATGTTTGAAAAAACTTGAGCGCTTTCTAACGGCGTTGTTTTGTAATGGCGTATGACTGTTTTGTCGTTTGCAAACTACTAATTTGCGGTGATGTCGAGGAAAACCCTTGGCCCACCCAGAAGGAACTGTACGAGCAACTACTTGACGGTCAGACAGAAATGCGAAAGGAACTACTTGAAATTAAAACACTGTTTTCTGAGCTGAGAGAACAGATGCTTGACTTTAGGCGTACTGTAGAAAATATAGCGACTGAGCGCTCAGCACAGCATGAAAACACCCATCAATTGCATGTCACATTGAAATCATTTGAACACGCAATGTCTTTTCAAACTAAAAAGCTAACAGACCTTGAAGACCACAGCAGACATTCAAATGTGTATATTTATGGAATACCTGAGACCTCACCAGAATCAGAAGAGGAACTAAAGGACAAGGTTACGAAGGGTCTTTTTCAAGAAAAACTTCAGGTTAAATCTGAATCTGTTGGGCGTATTCATCGACTGGGTAAGCACGTAGGAAAGCGGCCTGTAATAGTGTATCTGCAAGACTTTACAGAAAAGAAAGAGATAATGAAAAACGCAAGCAAACGGAAGGGCTCAGATATATTTGTTAAGAATGATTACTCAAAATCAACGCTAAAAAAACGCAGTCTGCTCTGGCACAACACAAAGGCCGAGACAGAACAAGGAAAAAGAATCAACCTGAAACATCATAAACTAAAGATCGATAACGATATGTATTTTTGGGATCAGGTGCAAAATAGGTGGGTAAAAATGACCGGCTACAAGAACACCGCACCCCAGCAGTCTAAAACTTGATGCAATGTGCCTGCGCACAAGCAACTTCGTCTACTTAATTTGACTGCGTGCAGTGTTATGGATAAAAGCGAGCCCCTCGAAATCCTATTACTGCCGTACGATCCTCACAATACTGTTATAACTGAGACGTGGTTACATGAACAGGTGAATGATGGCGACAATTTTCCACCTTCCTATACGGCTTTTCGTAAGGAAAGGCAATCAAGGGGAGGTGGTGTGGCCGTCCTGATCCAACAAAAATTTGATGCTGTCTTAATGGATGATGTACCGGAGCTTGAATGTATCTGTAATAATGTAACTTTGTAGGGCCACTCATTCATCGTATGAGCATTATATAGACCGCCGGACTCAACTCTTGAATACCTATTAAAACTAAAGGAACACATGTCTAAATACCATGGCAACAAAGTTCTTTTAATTGGCGATTTCAATCTCCCCGGAGTAGATTGGGAGCGTTTCGAAACCTTTACAGCCAATATCAGCAATGTGAATGCAGTGTTTGACATCATGCTCGCACATAATTTGGTACAATTGGTTCATGAACCAACGCATTATCAGGGTACTGCTAGGTCTATCTTAGATCTGGTATTTATTCCCTGTTAATTCAGTACACATACCGTAGTATTGATCAAAGGCTGTCCTATCACCACCTTGTGTCAGTTTCTATCCCTCTAGTACTGCTTTCGGAAACTGCCAACTTGTCCTTTCATTGTGTGAAAGACTATACACATGCCAATGATGCATGCATTATCGAGCACCTAGAAACCTGTCTGATAGATTTTGTAGCTACCGATGTTTGTAGATTGTGGGACCAATTCAAACGCATATGCTTCTACTCTATTGAAAATTTTATACCGCAAACGTAAAAAGGTGCATAAACATACGCCCTGGATGACGCAAAGCATCATTCATCTCAAGCGTAGAGTTAAAATATTAAAGAAAAAGGATGCTGACCGCAAAGTTATAGCTGACGCTGTAGATAGCTTGCACATGCCGTACACACCTCGAAGAAATACTACTTCAATACGTCACTCGCAAACTTCATAACGAATGATCCAAAGAAGTTTTGGAACTATATTAGCGAAAAAAAGACACCCATATCACAGGTTTTTGTCAAGGGTTCAATGGTATCTGATCAGGCTGCCATTGCTCAGCACCTCAATGAGTATTTTCACGGTGTATTTTCCACTTCTAGTGCTTCCCCATCTGTCATAAATGTGGGCAATGCTGCAAATGTAAACTTCATTTCTTATTATGATGTCGTTGCTATGTTGTTGAACTCAAAGACTAAGGCTTCTTGCGATCCCGACAATATCCCCAACATATTTCTGCGTCGCTTTGTAGACTCTGTTGCAAAATATTTACTCATCATTTTTCGAGTCTTTATGTTGTCAGCGGAATCGCCAGATGACTGGAAGTCGGCACGAATAGTTCCTATGTTAAAGAAAGGTGACCGTCTAGTACTACATAATTATCGACCAATCTCCTTAACATCATCATGCTGTGAGCTTATCGTACACATAATAGCTCATAAATAGAATGAATTCTTAGAAGAACGCTCAGTTTTAACATTTCATCAACATGGGTTTCGAAAAGGATTTTCTACTACAACACAAGTGGTTACTATCGTTCATACCATTGCAGCTTGTCTTGATGCTAACGGCCAAATTGACGTAATATTCTTAGACTACAGTAATGCATTCGACAAAGTTCCACACGATCAACTAATTATAAAGCTTCGGTTAGTTGGCATACCAGAAATATTTATCTCCTGGATCTCAGCTTATCTACTCAATCGAAACCAATATGTTCAGGTAGGAGAAAAACAATCGGACTGCCTTCCGGTGACTTCTGCCGTTCCGCAGGGGAGCGTACTAGGCCCCCTTCTGTTTCTGGTGTACATTAATGACAATGTCAATGTAATTAGCACCCCGGTACAAATTTGTCTATTTGCTGACGATGGTGTTTTGTTTAGAGATGTAACCTGCGTTAGTGACCAATGTGACCTTAATACTAAATTAGGCAATGTATCAATATGGTGTGAACAATGGGGAATGCTTCCTAATGCAAACAAATGTGTGTATCTCTCCATAACGCGCAAAAAAGTCCCATTAAACTACACATACAATTTAGCTGAAGCACCTTTACTTAAAGTAGCCTCCTATAAATACTTAGGCTTTACGTTACAAGTACCTTATACTGGAGTTTGCACATAAATAACATCTGCTCTGCCGCTTTCCGTAAATTATGCCTTCTCCACCACAAGCTCAAGACTGCTCCGCCTAGTGTTAAACTCCTCTCCCACTTTTTCTTAATTAGGCCTAATCTTAAGTACGCCTTCATAGTTTGCGATCCCCACACAAAAATTAACGTTCAAAACCTAGAAAGAATTCAAAGAAAAGCACTACGATTCATATATAGTAAATTAATGTCAACCGACTCCCCTACTGCATTACTAACGACAAATGGTATAGAACTATTACAAATTCAAAGAAAAAAAAAGTCGGCTACAGTTTCTTTCAGACATAGTAAACCACAGGCTATCCTTAGACACCGCAGCATACGTATCACCCTTGTTAAGCAGACCCACTCGATACCACTAGCCTCATTCCCTAACACAAATCTTCGCAAGGACTAATGCTTTTCGGTACTCCCTCTTTCCACCAACATTAGATGATTGGAATAAACTAACCCAAGCATTTCCTCAACGCCCTTGACCATTTGTGTAAATATTATTCTTCCATGACTTCCTTAGAATTGTATTA